GTCAACCCCCACCCCGGTTATACTGCTGTTCTTTCGGCAAGCACCTGATGTCCATGTCCATACCATAAATAACTGCTGTTATCAGTTACTTAATCAATACTTGTAATGCACAAGAATGGAAAAAAAAAAAAAAAAAAAAAAAAAAAAAAAAAAAAAAAAAAAAAAAAAAAAAAAAAAAAAAAAAAACCAAAAAACCCCCCCCCAAAAAAAAAACCTCAAAATCCAATCCTCAATTTACATAGCAATTTTAAGAGAATAATTCGTATTAAGAGAATAATTCTTTGGTGGAAAGAGTAAGGGTAATCACATTCACCACATTTTGTCAATAGTAGGATCAGGACAGAGGGATGAGAAAGCTAATTATGAGAACTAATTTTTCTATAACAATAAACCATAACTTGATGACATTTACAGTACATTATAATGGAATTGCAACTAACAAGTAAATTTAAAAGCAGAGGGAGAGTCACTGGTCTTCATCTCCAAAATTAAATTAAAAAAAAAAAGAAAAAACTGACAGGAAAGCAGACAAGAAAAATGTCTGTTTCAACAGAGGTGCTTTCCTTGATCAGCATTTCCATGGAGTTGCTTCTTTGGAGACAAACTTCAAAACTGTTTACTGTTGATTTGATGGTAGAAACTTAATAAACACTTTGAGTGCAAGAGTGATAAATAAGTGAGTGAGTAATCCCTATTCATGTACTCCCCAGGGAAGTTGTGTGACATCATCAGTGGGAATATGGATTGTTTGGTTACTTCATGTTCCAAACCTCAACTGCTATAGGATGACTATCAATAAAAATTCATGAAGAAATCAAGCAAAATAATTCATCAAATACGAACTAGCCTGAGAACTAAGCAGCTAATAAGCCTACCGAGCCTTGGCTAGATTGATGGAAGTCATAGAAAGACAGAACACCATCAGGCAGAGTGATAAATACTATGTTTCAACCTGTGTCTAAAACATTCCATATCAAGACTGTATTAAAACTAGTGTGTTTTATTCCATGATTGTCGATGCCCTCGCAGAAGGTACAGAATTAAAACTACAAGCACTTGACTTGCTGTACACTGCATTAGCATATGAACACTCAGCTGTCAAGACAACCCCTGTGCAGGCAGCATTGGGTTGCCAAGGTTTTGCTAACAGAAATCCAACTGGAAATTCAAAGCGAAGTCTAGATACACAAGATATTCAGTAATGTATAGCAACTTCATCTTAAATCATCTTAGATCATCTCATAAGCAGTCATAGCCATGTTTGTCCAGGTTTGTTTGCAGTTTTTTGGTTTTTTTTTTGTTTTTTTTTGCTTGTAATAGTTCTGGGCTAATGACAAGTCTCACCCTCAAGCAATTACCTGTCTTGGCTGATTTGTTGCATCAGTGACCACAGTTTCTGACAAATTAAAGAATCCCTACATTACTTTTATTAGTAGACAGGTTGCAAGCATTTGAGGTGTCTGAAGCAACTGCACCGAGAAGATCTGCCCAGTGTTGGCAAATCCTGGAAATGGACCGTTTGCTCCCACACATGGCACAATCCAGCGCCTTCTCGGAGCTGAGCACATTAAGGCATTAGATGCCATTTGCATTATCACACAGCAGGGGGCTACAACAGCTACAATTCCGGGATAATCCTAACCTGTGTCTGTATCCTATGAATCCAACAGAACTATTTTTATTGTTAGTTTCTCACGAGCTTACTCCTCAGGTTGCATAAAAACAGCTCAGACGAAGTACTTGAGTTATTCTGAACATGCGCCCCCGACAACTGCTAAATTTTATCTAAGTAAGACTACATTTGTGAAGCCAAAAAAAAAAAAAAAAAAAAAAAAAAAAAAAAAAAAAAAAAAAAAAAAAAAAAAAAAAAAAAAAAAAAAAAAAAAAAAAAAAAAGAAGAAGTAAGGCTGGCTGTAAAGATAAGTAAGAGGTTAACCTCTTGGGACATCGATTAAGTACTCCAGGATCACTACAGTACATAAGTTAAGCACAACAGCAGCCAGAGATCCCACTATTTTCACAGCAAATGCTGGAGAGGGCAGAACAGACTAATACCATACCCGAAGCCAGCYGACAAACCTCAGCATGTTATTACTCCCTCTTCCACCTCCATGTGCCCCCCTTTCACAGCAAGCAGTTGACACTGGGCTCTTTCACTTCTTGTTTGCCTCCTTTCTGAAGGGACTGCTTGCTGCTAATGCTATTCCATGCACAAGCTGAGAAGCATTATTCTATGTCCTCTTCCCTCAGCTGATGCTTCATCAATACCCAGGACAGATTCCTGGAGCAAGTCTCTCCAYAGATCTTGCCAGAAAGGCACACTTCCATACAGGACACATGTCAGCTTGACTCTTTGTCACCTTGTCTTTAATTAGCTTCCGTTTCACCAACAGAAACCATCAGTAATCACAGTTCAGAAGTGCTTCGAATCCTCACAACAAAGATCTTATTCACATACCGAGCTGACAGAAAAACCTGCATATCCCATGGCTCACAACACAGAAATTTGAAGGAATCTAATAAATCCATTGAGCCACTTCAAAATTCAGTTTGGGGAAGTAAATCAAGCCACCAGGAAAAACTAYTTTTAAATGTAGCTATTAAGCTATCAACAAGAAATGTGTCTAATGGTAACTGTGTCTGTTACTTCTGTCAAAATAAATGACAGAAACTAAGAAAACAACATTTATGAAGTTGCACTTCAAGGTGGACTGAAAGAATTTGATAATTCTGTTGGATACAGTTGCTGTTGAGGGCACTTATACAGAATATTATTTACTCATCTCCTTCATTCTCCTTTACCTTAGGAGACAAGGATTGGAGAAATTACTTCCTCTCACTTCTGCCTGAGTGTTACAGGTTCTTTATATCYGCTTGAAAGAACACTCTGCTGAAGTGCAGTACACAGAGAGCCTAAGTATTTTTGATTGAAGTTTTAATCAGGAGTTGAAAAAATAATTGTGTGAGAAACTGAAGAGAGGGGAGATGCTTTACACATGCAGAAGGCAAGCTGGGTAACGTGCTAAGCATCGCTTTTCCCCATCTGCGAGGACAGGCYCAAACTGGTTATTTTCACCAGCCACAGTCAGATTTGTATTACACCCCGTTTCTTGCAACACGTTTTTTACCTGATGCAGTTCACAGAGTTACATTCTTCCTGGCATGCTCCCTAAACTGCAGTGAAAGACATCACTGTTTTTAATCACTGGTTTACTCTCAAAACTGCGCCGCGCTGAATGCGGCTGATTGCATCTCAGGAAAGATCAAATCCTCCTCCTCCAGCAGCAGCCCCGATTTTATTGGTGACAGAAAGTCAGTCCAGAGGCTTCCCACCCCCAGCTCCGTTGCAGGGCAATGAATTGACAATTCACAGGGAAATGTAAAAGGCAGAGAGGAGCCAGCCCCCAGGTGCAGCGCGCCGCACATGCCCCAATAAATAATCCTGTATAGCTCCAACACAGCAGCTCCTTGTGCGGTGACGTACCGGGCAACTCATAAACATCGGGAAAGAATACAAATAATCCACCCGACGGACCCGTCCTTCGCAGTTGCCCAGCGCATTCCCTTCCCCTCCCATTCCTTCTGGCATCCTCGGCCGCTAACTTCCCCGGGAGGTGGAGCGGGGACACTCGGGGGGGTCTGGACGATGGGGTGTGGGGAGGGGGAGGSTCCGTGTTTCGGGAGCCCGGGAGGCTGCCCCTGCCCCCGCTCCGGGCTGCCAGCCGCGGCTCCCTCCGGAGAGATCGCCCGACACATGACGCAGCCATGTGAAACGCGAAATACATTAAACTTGACGTGAAATGGTATGACGGAGGCGAGCGGGGTGGGGAAAAAAAAAAAACCAAAAACCTTACAAGGCCACTTAGTTTAATGGACTCTTCGCTTCTCCCTCCCACACCGAAACACCCCGCACGCCGAGCGAGGGAACGGCAGGGACATGCCCCGCCGGCCCCCCGCATCCTCCCGGAGGACCGGGGACGACMAGCGAGTTGCTGCTTTGTGGCTCCCCGGCCCCCTCCGCACCCGCCGGCCCGGGGCCGCCGCCCCCCGGCCGCCACCTCCCCGTGCGGGGTCCCCGGCGGGCGGGGTGACCGCGCTGCCATCCCGCCGCCGCTCGGGGGGCGAGGGGCAAACTCCCGGGGGCAGCGCAGCGCAGCGGGCTCGGCTGCCGGCTCGGCTCCCGCTGGAGCGGGAGAGATCTGGGGGAAGCWCCCCCGCAGGCAGCCGCGGCGGGCGGGCACCTCGCAGCGCGTCGCGGGGCTTCCCTGCGCGGCGGCCGCTCCATCCGACTTGGCCGGATAACGGGAACGCGGGGGAGMGGCGGCGGGGAGGGGGAAGAGGGGAATACATCCAGTCTGGAAACTAGCCGCAGGATGAGCCGCCTGGAGCAGGATGGCGAAGGGATCCGCCGCTGAACCCCCGGCTCATCCGATTACCCTACGTGCACATTTGATGCCTCGCACACAGACACGCGCTCCCGGCGGCGGCGCAGCGAGRCGCGGACACCCCCCCATCCCGCCGCCCCCCGCCGGGGGGGCACGGCTGGAGCCCGCACGTTTCCCCGGGATGTTGTTGCAGCGCACACGCCGCTGCTGCGGCTGCACTCGCACTTTCGGGGGCACGTTTGCGGCGGGCGAGCGAGGAGGTGACGGGGCGAGTCGGGGGGCGGCTGCGGGGGTCGGCGAGCCACTGGCGGCGGCGGGGCGGGGGGTAGGTGGAGGAAGAAGCGCGGAGGGCGAAGGAGGACGGCAAGAGGCTGACGGGGGAAGGGCAGGAAGGGTTAACAGCCGTGCGGCGCTTCAGCGCTGGATAGCGCTACCCGAGCGGGAGGCTGGGGCGCACGGGGAGGGGGGAAGCTGGGAGCGGGGCGAGGGAGGGAGCGGGTCAAGAACGGGGCGGGGGGTGTGGGGAGGAAATCTGGGATGCCCCGGGCAGCGGCGGTGCCCCCCCGGCGTCCCTCCCTCCCCGCGCGTGGGGCAGGGGTGGGGAGGAGGCGGTACCTTGTACGAGGATCCCGCAGAGGCTGTAGAAGCGCAGAAGCGCGCCGGGCTTCAGCCGCATCCTGGGGGCTCCCCTCGGGCTGGGTGGGCGCCAGGCACGCAGATCCGCAGCCTCCCGCCGCTCCGCTCTCCGGGCGCTTCCTTCCCCCCGCAGGAGCCGCCGCCGCCGCCGCCTCCGCCGCAGTGTCTCCCTCGCTGTATCCAGTGGGGTGAGGAGGAGGAGGAGGAGGAGGAGGAGGAGGACCAGGGTCGCGGGGGTGGATTGGGGAGGGAGGAGGAGGAGGAGGCGGAAAGAGCGGCTCTCTCCGCTGGCTCCGGCGCTGCTGGGCAGGTTCAGGTTCCCACCGCGGAGCGGTGCCAGGTGCCCCCGCTGGCTCCCCTTGCCCCTGCCGCCGTGTCCGTCCGTCCGTGCGTCCGTCCGTCTCTCCGTTCGCCTGTGCTGCGCTGTCCCGTCCCGTGCCGCCGTGGGGCGGCGGGGGCGGAGGCGGGGAGGGGGGGATGCGCAGGGACTCCGCTCCCGCTCCGCTCCCGCTCCGCTCCAGCCGCTTCCCGGCGCGACACACAAGGGCAATCTCCGCTCGCCAGGCTCCCCTGSCCTGGCCCCGCCCCCGCCGCACGCCCCGCCCCTTTCTGAGCGGAGCCCCGCCCCCTGCCCCGCCCAGCTGCCACACCCGGCCCTCCCTGCGCCGCGGCCACGCCCCCCCGCCCGCACGGCTCCGCCCCTCCCCATTGGCCCGGCCCCTCTGGCTGGCGAGTGACTGACGTGGGCTCTGTCCAATAGCCGTTGCCCAGGTCGGAGCGGCGACCAATGATAATTCCCGTTACAAAGCAAGGGGCGTGTCCCGGGGCCGGGCCCGCCTYGAGCGCCGCTGAGTGACAGCCGGCGCGGGCCAATGGCGGGGAGCGGCGTTCGGCGGCGGGGCCGCASCCAATGGGCGCAGAGAGCGGCAGGGGCGGGGCGGGGCGGGGCGGGGCGGGCGCTGTCCAGAGCCGGTGCTGAAGCGGCGGCGGCGCCGGGAGCGCTGAGGGACGGGACGGGGCCCGGGCTGTGCGAGAGACCCGGCCCCTTGCCTCGGCTCTTGGGAAAGCCCCTTCTCTTCCCGCTGCTTTTCCTCCCGACAACAGGTGAAAGAAAGGCTGGCTGCGTCTCCGTGCTCCTCGGAACGAATCCCGTGCAGGTGCCTTCACTGCGGCGGCGATGAGACCGGCTCCTCCTGTGGAGCCCCCGAACAATGGCAATAAAGAGCTTCCTGGATTTTTCGCGGACTCTGCACGGCATGAAGGAAGTTTTTCTGTTTGGAAGGTTTCTTGGGAGGGTTGGTAGCATTGAGCTCGGGGTCCTGAATGCTTATGTTCGGAAAGATAAGAACTGAATGTCATGAGAAATCCGAGAGGGCAGACAACCACTTCACGTTTGTGTATTTGGTATTTAGCACAGTATGGGCCAYCCTATTCCCAGAACCTCTCTGCGAAATAAGAATGCCTGGGTTTTAAGTTGCTGGATCTGTCTGTAAACACCCTGTGGTGGAATTATGCTGCTTTATCCCATAGAAAGCAGGATTCCCCTGCATCCAAATGTATATAATGGCCGTGTGTTTCTCCAGGTCGTGTTCCATCCTTTTCCTGTTGAGGCTTTCTCTCCAACACCATGCGACATATTTCCCACATTCACCTCTCTGAATTTCCACCTTGATGCCCCAGTCTTTGACACCACAGAGCTTTGCAGAGATAAGTGATGAAATAGWCTGACCTACAGGAGAGGGAAGCTCTTTAAAATCTCATTTCTCTGAAGGGGGCATGGTCTCAGATCGTCAAGGATGTGCAATCAGTTGTCAACTTCACCTTGAGGAGCTTGCACTGGAGTGGGATTTGGGAAGTTATGTATTCTGTAGTCATATCTTCCACTTCGTTCATTAGCAAGTGATGATTATGCCTGGCAGCAGTTGAAACTGCATCAGGATTTCTACTGAGTTTCCCTTATCTCCAAAAGGTGTTCACATAAAATACAGAATCAAATTACAGAATTACATTTTAAAGTCTAAGCATTTGTACGATTTTGCAGCAAAAGAACCTCATGTCCATCCCCATGCCTTTGGAGGATTAGGTTAACACTGTCAGAAATGTTGCACTGGAATGTCCCCCAGGACAGGGAAGCATTTGTAGTCTRTCTCTAATGGATGAGGAGATATTTGCTTTACTTGTCTTTTTTATTCTTAGTGAAAAAAGACACAACAGGCAAAGGTTTTACAACTGTTCTCTTAGGGTTCAGTGCAGGTACAGCAGTAATGAATGGGGAATGATTGCCAAGATATTTTAGCAGACATACAAAAAGGATCAAGTCATCATTTTTAAGGCAGCCCCATAAATGTCAACAAATGTTTTTTTTTTTTTGTGGTGGTGGAGAAAATAAAAAAAAATCCTTATAATATAAGCAGTATAAATCCTTCACTAAGGCAGGCCTGTAATCCATCCTGAAGTGCTTTTGCATTAATTATGACAGCTGATATATTTTGACAGGATATACTTTTGATTGTAGTCTTGTTCCAGGACACATTATAGGAAAGATACAAGTGTCTTCCCACCTTAGTGATAAAAAGCTGTAGAAAGGGGTCCTTTGGCAGGTGTAGGAATGAAGTATCTGTCTGTACATCATGGGGTTTTCAAGTCTTTGCCATATTCATACACTTGGAAAAGCTGATCTGAGTGTTTAGAAACACCAGCTGGCATTTTCTCCCCAGGATCCAGAAATGTGCATATCACATCATGCCCCATGTCAGGAGTATAAGCAGAAATAGGTTCTCCCCATTGTTTTCTGGCTCAAGTGGTTCTGAAATGAGCTAGCAACATGGTGATAGAGAAAAAAATTCCCATCCAAACTCCCTTGTTTTTGTGACTAACTATATATCTGAAAATTGTATCACTAAAATCATTACAACTGCCAGATATGGTGTCATAATTCTTCTGATTAACTCAGCAGTGTTAATTTAATGGTTTCTTTAGTCATAGTAACACATCCTATGACATCCATTGGCAGCTGACATCTAAACCAAACACASACAGGACTTGCAATTGGTCCGTGGAGCTGGAGCTCATGAGTGGCATGGCCAAAAGCATCATTGCTTCCAGACCAAAAGGGCAACAGGGACTCTTCAAGAAACAAACTTCAGCACAGAGTAAAGAGTATTACCCTAAAATATCAACAAGAGATAACACTGAAAATCACATGCAAAAGAAAAATGTTCTTCTGCATTATCCTGTTATTCATCAAGGTGGTATGCACAAATATTCGTATGTACAAATAWTCCTAATGCTAAACAAAGCAAAATAATTTAATCCCCAAGCATGGTTTAGAAGGAGTTTTCAAATATTTCCTCTCACTGGATCTGTAAATAACAAGTTACCCAACTTCCCATACACTTTCAGCAGAGGTCTTACATTACATACTCCTACTTCCCAATGTTTTTCTTGTTGGTTTTCTAGCAGAGCAGCCAGCTTGCTTAGTTGTCTCCTCTCAATTATTTCCCATTCATCCTTTTCTAGATGGCACAGATGTCACAGGTATGGGTGAATAGTTGATGGAATTGTGTGCAGTCACAGTAGACAGCTCAGATCACTGACCATTTCATATCTGGGTCCACTACATGATCTGTTCATTTTCTTACGCACTTTTTCTCCTGATCAGCAAGACTTGGGGCTTCTCTCTGAAGAGCTAGACTCCACCTCTTCTAGAATGAGCTGCCTGCGTTGGGTTAGAGTACCTCTAGAGTTTGCCTTGAAAGGCAAGCAAGATCTGAAGGGATAATTGTTGGTTTTTTTTAGTGATGCTCCTTGATAGCATCAGTGGTCAGTGATTAGGGATGGGAAACCCAAGGAAAACATATATTTGACAAAACATTACGGTTTAACTGAATCCAGAAAATGGTGGAAGATAAATTTATGGTAATTTATGAAAAGAGAAACTTCCAGTGTTACAAGCTGGGAAGCACAKTTCTAGAAACAATTGTTTTGTGCTATGTCCTGTAGTAGAACCTTTAAAGTAATTTTTTTATAATCTAGAGGGTAACAAAGAAGCAGTTAAAATATGGTTCCATGGTACCAAAACCAATCCAAAAAACCCTACAGGAAACAAGGRGAAGACAAGCTGCTTGTGACAGAAGTTAGAAACAGATCTATCCTGAGTTGCAAAATTGCTAAACACTGACAAAGAGTGACAATCACTGACACATTTAAAACAATAATTTGGAAAGTGAGACTTATTTACATGTCTGAATTTAAAAAATTGAAAAAAAAAAAAAAACCAAACAAACAAACAAAAAAGGTGAAAAGCCCCCACTACTGCTGCCTCCCAGCCTTGAAGAAACCTCTGGCTGGATTAATATCCTCTTGCAGCAGTCCTTAATAAGTCCTTAATGCTTCTATTTGTCCCACCACACTTGGAAGTGGCACCACAGCTTCCCTCATGTGTAGGGCTTAGATCCCAAAGGCATCACAGAAAGTGAATTCCCTGCCCAGTGCACAATTCCTGATCTATGTGGAAATCAGAGCACCAGATGTTCATCTCTGGAGTCTGTGCATTTGCTTTTTGCATTATCCTTTACCATGCTTCAGCAGCTGCAGCAGAAGAGTTGGGGTTTTGTTTGCTTTGGGTGAGAAATTTTGAGTGGTGGAGGTGAGCTGCTGTTGTTTTAAATGGTGTGGGTTTGGTGGAAGCTGATTACTGAAAAAAAGAAAAAACAGATAACATTTACTTACCAGATGCCAGCAAAAATGCAATGGTTTGAACAAATACTGTAACAACTAATTTAGTTAAATCTATCCAACTGTGAAAATATATTGGCGTGAATAAAAATATATAGACATGAAACGCATTGCACTTTTTTTTTTGTTTGAAAAAAAAAAAAAATTGGCTTCGGTAAAGAGCAATTGAAGTTTGAAAATATGCTCCAGAGAAGAAATGTGTTCATTTCCATAAAACATATTGGTGTGTAAATATACAGAATGTATCTGTTCCAGAGCAATATTATGAATTCAGTGAAATTTTGTTCTGTGTTAGTTAGTAAGATGAAGCAAGTAAAAGGAATTGCATGCTGCAAATACTACATATAAAATATGTGTGGGATGAAGTCCCATTTATAAAGCAATTATAAATGTGAGATATTTCACAGACTTTTGGAGAAGGAAAAAAAGTCTATACAACAACCCTGCCAATGCAATGCCAATGCAAAGTAAACCAAGGTCAAACCTCACTGGTATCATTCTCATTGAAAAATACCTAATCTACATTTTGAGTTGGTGAATATAATTGCAGAAGAGAATTACCAATGATGAGTGGAAGCAGAATTATCTTATTCATTACCTGACCTCTCATCCATATAATTTGTGGAATGAAGACACAGAAAAAATGGTGCTGCTAACATGATTCTCCATATATTCTAGTTAGGTCTCCCACTTCCTAGAGTGTTTGATAATTAGCAGAAGTGTGTGCTTTCCTACGCCTTCTAACCCTCAACCAAGAAGCAACTACTTGAAGAAATGTTAGTTCCCTACCCCAAATGACAGAATTGTGGTGTTGTATAACTTCAACAGCTCT